CACAAAGAGAATTCGGCCATTCAATGTGCAAAGAATAGTGAAGAAAAATGGCAAGTTTTAACGGGGAACTGAATGTAAAGGCACAAAGCACGGAATGCAAATGCTTCAAGGCTTTTCCATTTTACCTCAGTGACTTTACTAGATGTTGCTTTTAGAGAAGTGCTCTTGATAAATACAACTGGAGGGTCAAATACGCTTACTGAAGACTTTCCCCTTTTTAACCAGATTCGCAAATAAATCTGTACAAAGTTAACCCAACAAGGAAACCAGTGAAACGATCTCCAAATATTAGTGCAAGCGCCATGTTACTCTGATTAAAAGTTCATCAATTAATCTGCACAGCTACCTCGTTAAGGGTTTTCATCCATCTCGACATAGGAGCATGACAAGTGCGGCATTCAAAAGAGAACGAGATTGAATTTGAAGTCAAAATATAGGTTATCACCCTACAATGTCCATACTGAATGTGTATTAGATCTGACTATGGCTTGCTATCATTAGCATGGCACAACTTACCTCAATCGCTGAATTCCGGTTGCACGATTAATGCGATTTAATTGACTCTTTTCCTGACTGCGAATGGAAATCTCGTGCATTTCTGCACATCCGGCAACGTAGTGAATCTGTTTGAAGGGGTAAAAAAGTTGAAACAGGGCTTATAACACCCCACCAGATCAAGGATAGTCTCGGAGCCAGTAAGACAAAGAAAGGACTCCATCGTACTGGCGGAGAGGAAGTGTTCACACATTAGCTTTCCGGTCACTAAATGTGTAAAAATAATATGGAAGTAGAATTAAAATAAGCCTACGGCAAGGCGCAATTGCCTGATTGTCAGCTGACACTTTCAAAGCTCCAATCGACTTCAATTTGTCCAGAGTATCCAAACAGAGTCCTATGAGAAATTTCAAGGAAAAGAGTGGGCATACTTTTAAGATCCATCGAGGCAGTTGTTTGGAATCTGTTGGAGCCATAGTATAATGGATTCTTTACTAGACGCACAGCCAGATATGTACCAGAAATCCACTGATTTACATCTTGCATACTCTGGATTCGACCCAGTGCCACCTCTACATTAAGATGATCTATAAGACAGGTGTGAAGGCTACGGAGATAAGTTAAAATGTCACTAACCTGCTTTCAACACTCTCAGCATCCTCCAGCCAATGCTCATAGTACTCCTGTGGTCAGAAGGGTTAGCAGGTAACTAATTGAGTTCAGACCTTTTTAGCAGAAGTTGTCATTATCACTGCAGTTGCTGAGGTGCTAAACTACAAACAGCAAAAAAAATTAGAAGCGCGGAAGAAAAACCTACTTGTGGTCGGCCAGCACGACCGATCATTTGCAGCATTTGCCTAGTTGTGTATTCCTGCGTCGATCCCTCTACATAGAGGGCAGTATTTTTTATAATTACTAGGTGGGCTGGCAGGTTGATTCCCATTGACAAGGTGCTTGTGGATACTGCAGAGTGGCGCATATTTAAGAAAAGTACGCAACAAATCTTACCAAGGACTGGTATACAGCCGTCTACAAAGGCCTCTTCTACCAGTCGGCGATCCACTGGACTAACGCCAGCGTGATGGAATCCAACACCTTTGCTTAAGCACTCTAAGAAGTGAAAACAGAGTTTAATTTAAAAATAGCAAAGTTAACCACGTTTGCAGTAAGCGGAATAGTATAACTATTTGTATTCCAAGCCCTAAAGAATTAACAAAGGAATTTCAAAATACCTTCTTGGTATTCGGGCAAAACTAGTGAACAGTAAAAATACTACAAAAACCCACCCTTAAGCAAGCCTCCCGAGATACTGTCGACAAGTTCTTGGCGTATATTCGAACACAAAATTCCCCCACGAGCCAGCCACTCTGCCGTGTTTTCAACGGTTTTTCTGGTAATGCTAAACTGTTATTTAGTCTAAGCTGAAGAGGCCTTATCAACAGCATACGATGAGAGTGGGACGACCCTGGGAGTATGTACGGATAAGCGGTAAAAGTTTCTTAGTGAGAAACTGATCAAACTGGAAGAGAGAACTTTGTGGAGACTTTCTGTAACCTAATACGATCTTTGTGATTGGCACTGGTCGAAACTGTGATCCAAAGCTAAAACAAAATAAGCGGATTCATTGTTTTAGTCACGTTTACCTACCTTCTGCATAAACAGGGACGATCTGGGGTAGATAACCATTGTGCGATCTATCGAAACAAAAGTAAGAATACGGCACTTGCATCGGAAATGTTGGGACAGGTGGCTGTTGCGGCAAGGATTCGTGGATGAGAAGCAAAAAAACGCATTATGACAGCTTCTAAGCAGGCTCCACGAGACTGATCTGCTATCGTATGGATCTGTTTTGGTTTGATGAAAGATAAATTATGAAGCCGATATTAACCTCGTCCACCATTAGAAGTGTAACTCGAGCTACTAGATCTTTCATTCCCTCCTGAAAACGCAGTAGGCTGTCGATTTTCTCCGGCGTTGCAATGAGAACCGTGTGCTGCATTAGTTCCTCTGTTTCATAATGTGGTGAATCAGATGTGAGCTCAAGGCAGGTGTAGCCGAGAGTTTTCAGCTTGTCATGCCACTCAGTCATGCGTTCCGAACACAAGGACTTCAGAGGAGCCACTACAAATATATTGCCTAAATTTCCAACTTACGGTAAAGTGAAATAGGCCTTGTTTTACCAGTCGCTAACTCAATAGCTGGTAAAAACTTGCAGATTGCGAGTTCAAATATAACAGTTTTTCCACTTCCTGTGGGTGCCGAGATTACATAAGAGAAGTCGCTTTGCAATATCTAGCCAAGGTATCGAAAAGAATGATAAAATAATACCTCCGTTGCCATTTCGGCTTGCATATCGTTAAGGGATGGGTGATCAATAAAACTTTTCAGATGAGAGGGTGCTCCGATGTTAAGGGCATTTGTGTTTATTTAACAAATATTTGAAGTTACAATATAGTGAATTAAGAAATAGAGTAGGATCTAATTATAAATTATATGCAAGAGATACGCCGATGCAGCAACGTCAAGCCCTCCTAAGGACCCAGATTGAGGTATACAAAATACAAATAAGTTGGAGAAGGAAAACAAAATATAGGGAGATGGTGAAATGAAACTCATATAAAGCATAGATAAGCTTTGAGCCTTGGGAATAATAATTCCGACAATTTAGCACATGGCAAATAGCAGTTTGGTACTCAAAGGATATGAATATAGCTGAGAGGATCACAAGAATTCATCAGCATACGATATTCTGTAGAGAATTTAAAAGATCAATTAATGCGTGCGAATGAACAAACAAATTAATCAAAAGGTTAGCTGGCAAACCTCCAGCAATTTTGCCCGTACAACTTACAGTAGAGCATAAATTTGAGCAAAAAATTTACAATTTTGTAGATTTTTGGGCTTTTAGGTCGCGTTAAGTTAGTTGATGCAGAAAAGTGTGTGTTGATAGTGATCAAAAGGGATAAAAGATTAGAAGGCATACAGCTAAGCAGAAGCGCAGGTCATGGCATCAAAAGCACAGTCAGAATTATGAATTATTCTTCTCTTGAGCGTTTTTCTTAGGGCTCCTCATGAATCCTCTTTCCTTGTGAATAAAGAAAATCCCTGTGTACGTTGCAATCAATCGGCGGGTATAATAGTGGATTACGTGATGACTTTGCATCTTAGAAAGAATGTTGTTGAATGATGATACCATTTTACGACAGAACGTATTCTACAAAGCAAATTGTGCTTAGGGTAAGCTTGTGAACTCGCCGGTACAAGATTCTAAAAGCTGTTTAAGACTGACTTTATGCTGTTCGTCAAAATGTTTGCTTAAGTGCACAACTAATACCAAGAATATCCTGCTCCATAAATAAAATACAAACGGTATAAAGTCTTTTGCAAACCCTAACAACTTAATTTTACTCTATCAGCTTAAAAATGAGAATTGGAAGTAAGAGAGACGAATGCAATGCTTATGTTGTTTTAATGTTCTTCACAGGGAGAAGGCCGGCGTACGAGCCGAGCCTCGTGACCAAGGCGCTAGTGTCGAGTAACCCGGAGAGTTTACTTGTTCACACGCTCCCAAACTCGTGCATTATCCCCCATCTACTTATTTGAATATACATGTCTAAGCTGAATCAACCCTGGTGCTCAATGAATGCGAGTACCAGGGAAGAGACCATCTACGAGTCCCACCCTACACGACTTTAGTGCTTTAATCGCAAGACTATAACATTTTGGCAACCTACAGAAGTCGTCGTCCCTGTAAAGCGTTACCACAATGCATCTTTCCTAATCGTAATTAGCCGTACCAGTAAGGCAAAATATTGCCGGCGACGAGAAGATGTGGAAGAGAATTGGCATATTTTAAAGACTGAAGAATATAGAGAAGGTAAATTTTAGGGAAAATAAATGGGCCGGGTCATACCCATCTTTAGATTATTAAGCCAGGTCAACAAGGTTGTCACCTATTGAATAAATCCAAAAGTAATTGCTAGCTACTTTGTACATCATGCAAATAAAAAATAACACTGGTACAAGTTAAACTCTGTGGTACTTGGTTTTAATGTATTTGCAAATGAGGTCTGCATTTTGATTGAGCAAATTAAAAATATTCCGTTTGATCGTATACTGCAATAATATGCATGCAAACAAATATCATAAATAAAATTTAAAAAGGGTTTTGTTCAAATCTAAAATTAACACCTAAAATCCTTGCTAAAGTCGTAATGTGCTGTTTGTCTTCAACTGTGTTCCATAGTGTACGCGGTATATACGAAGGCCCTCTTCGTTGTCTTTCTGGCTTTTTTGATCATTTCCTGTCTTTTTCACCAAATTTACCAAGTTTGGTACTCTTTGACTACTAAAATGGAGCCGACTAGCATTGCGCATCGATATGTTTATACAAGAGAGCAACTTATTGAAATCCGACTTGCATTTATTTCTAGTGGTGGGCCTAGCCGATACCCTGTAAGTTCTGTGCTCCTACAATGCCAGAGTTTCTAATTACTATGTTTTTTATGTTTTCTCATGTGTGTCTTGATAGTTGAAATTAACAGACTTAGAGCAGAAAACCATCTTCGTTTAATGATCGAAATGCGCGATAGCCAAGGTAGCATAATTCAGTGTCAGTATTTTAAGTAGTTTAAGTTAAAATTATTTACTTGTGTTCTATTATCAGTGCACCACGGGCTGACACATGTGCCTCTTAATTTGTGCTTTCTTGGTCCAAATTTGTACTATTTTTAATTCAAACATTTAGTTCTCTGTCATTGACAGGAGAAATACCTTCTAGAAATTGGTTTTTTCCGTTGCTTGGAGCTTTTGTTTCCATTCGTTAACGCTTTTTACCGTCAAGACACTCCTTATTTCAGATTGCGGATTCTGTCATATCCCTGGATCCCGAGAAACGAGTACTCCAACGCAAGAGTAAGCCGATAGTTGACACCGCCGTACTCCAAGCCAAATCATCGAAAAATACGGAATCGTTTTATTCTGGGTGAGATTTTGACGGTCACTTATCTTATTACATCTCAGCTGCTCACTAATGTCGCTGAAATTCCAGGGGTGTGGAGATTGTGACATGTCATGGTAGCGACATGACACAGTATTCTACAGGTTGGCGAAGGACTCGTCGTACTTCAGGCAGTGTGTCGCAGTCACCTCTAGACGCTCCCACCTCTCAGCGCCACAATTCTGGTAGTTCGGGCGGGGAGGAGGGCTGCGGTGGCGGCAATGGTAGCGGGGGCAACGGTGGTGGGACCGTACGCCGCGAGTTCGACTGGTCCCTCGGTTGCGGCAAGTGGCGCCATCGCTCCACCAGTGGCTCCGAACGTGGTGCTCATAAGGTGATTTCCTCTATGATTTGTACAACGGCGGGTGGGCGCCATAGCTCCCTTTATGCTACCAAAGGCCTTAGTTTCCTCTTAAATCGAGTTCCACTCATCTTAACAAATATCCTTAAATATAGCTGTACGCATTTTTGGATCCCCCTCCTCCGTTAGGTCCTACTCACGTGGAATAGCTAGTTTTTTGGGGGCAGCGTTGGTATTTAAATACTGTCTACTTTACTCCCCCTTACTGATAAATGGGTTTTTGTCCATGAATGTTTCTTTCTCCTCGTTTTCTATTGAGTGAAGGTTTTTAGACCTCATGTCCCTCCGAGAGTCCCACATATTCGAGGGTCATTTTGACCGTCTCCTAAACCAATTGGAGCACTTTGAGTCGCCTTAGTAGTCTGCCTTTTCATTGCTACCGTGCCTTACCATTATCGCTAATTCCCCTACCTGCCTGCATTTATCTAGATGATGGCTTCTTTTCGAAGCCACTGATTGATCTTTAAGGCGAATTTTCGTTACTGTTTGTGTGCGTCACCTTTTCTACGCTCTCTTGCACTGTTCAACAGTAAGGTTGTTTTCGGGCGTTGCTACGCTTTCCGGTTCTAAGTACCTGCTCTAGGGAATCTCAAATATCGAAGGACTTTTTTAATCTCTCAATAGATTGGTTTGCGCTAAAGCAGTTTTTCCTTTTGTATCTACGGAAGTTTGTTTTTTTTTGGAATTTTTGTTCACCGTAATCTAAATTTGCAGATTGGCCTTTCTTTAAGAGGGGGGATTTTTGCTCAGGGCGTTAATTTGTACAAGAAGCACCACCTTTATTTATTAATCGGGTCTCAATGTTCGTTCATTTGAAGTGCGTTTAGTAGTGTATCGCCTTAAGTCAAGCCTAGGGACGTGGTGAGAAATGCCAATTTGGAGGTTTAAATTATTAGCTCACAGGAGGGCTGGAAGTTTAATGGAGTTGGGGACCAAGATAATGCCATAGCTCGGGTGGACGGACACTGGAGACATTCAAACTTTGTACATGGGTCGTTTTACTACACAGCACTTCTCTTTTGAGTGTCATCGCCAGCGCTCTTTTATCCTCTGTGAATTGTCTGCATCTGCAGGCAAGGAATGTAGACATTGCGATTCATTCGCATTATGAGGAGAACGTTTCCTATTTCATTAGTGGTAAATTGTGTTTGAAGTTCGCGTCTCTTATAAAGCGAACTGTGTAAAGATTGTACCATTTTCTATACTGGGTTTATTGTGTTTGCCAATCGCTTTTTTGTCGGAACGTTTGTTGAAGAGGAAAATAAAGGAGCATAATGCGCTTAGACTATGACAAATTGCTGGAACTCTTGAGCGGTTCGCCAAGGTCTCTTCTCACATTTCAAATCTGGTCTCCCATTTATATATTAGCCTAGCTTCTCATGTCATGAGTCCTTCTCTACTTGATCCTCTCCAGTTGAGACTCAATCCTTATGTTTGCGACCAATATGTCGATTTATGCTTCCAGCATCTGCGTTACTCTTCATTTGACCTGGTCACGATGGCGGCAGTGCCCTTCGCGTCCTTCTTCGGGTCAAGTAGAGCTTTACGCTTGAAAATCATGCCACTTGTTTAACTGCGTACCTTATACCGGCAGTCTTTACTTTATTAAACCAATGAGAGCATAGGGTATTGTTGTTAGATTTCTCTATAATGAAAAATACCAATTCTAGGTGGATGTGAACGCTTAATAAAACCTTTTCATCATCCTTCCCCTCCCTTTTTTGCATTGCAATAAAACCGGTGTGCGCGTGACTGGCGGGCAATAAAGTGCACATGAAACAAGGTTAAATATTTGTCGCTGTTTTATGGTTGTTCCTGCCCCAATTAGCTAATGCATTTTCCTTCGGGCTGATATTCGTAGCGATCCATATGCTTAGCATAAACAGTCCTGATGCTTTGCTTACTCGATAGTCTCGTATACTTGAACCTGCTTTAAGCAACCCTCAAATAGTTCCGGATAATGTCTATCTTCTTCGTGATGGTGGAAGTGATGAATCGTAGGTTGACAAGTTTCCTCGGCGTTTTGAGGGTCAAAGTTGGTTACACCCAGTGAATGAGGCTATGTTGGTGATTTTGAGATGAAACGAATATCGTCTGATTCGATTTGTCTCGTACTGGCTCAAGACTTCGTCAACAACTGTAGAACCCAATCGAAACGCTCTTTCACACCGGCGTTAAGAGAGATGAAGCAGCTGTTAGCTAAATTGTGGGGCTTTGAAAATGACCGCCTCGAAAATAGTTTTACTCTAAGCACAATTCTCTTAAAAATTGGATGAGTCCCAATGTATCTTGCATCTCTACCCCTTCCAGACCGTTTTCTATGCCAGTGGTGGACGTGGTCGAGGGCGTGGCGGCAATGGGAGTGGTGGTAGTGAGGCAACTGAATTCCACCGCGAACAAGGTGGTGGGGTGTTCATGGGTTCGCCGGGGACTCGCGGACGCGGTTTCATGCGTCGGCCCTTCCAACACGGCGGTCAGTCTACTCGTGGTGGCAGGGGTGGTGGTGGTTTCAAGCCCTTCAACAACCACGGGGTGAGTTTTAGTTCTCTCTTACGCCTTGTACAGCGGATTTGGCTTTATTTGAATGAGTTTTAGGCAAGGTTAATTTATATATTACCCAGGGGAAGTAACACACCTGTGATGGCTGCTGAATATATCCTTTTTTAAAGCCTTTGTAGCGTTGCTTTAATGATCTTCCTTGAACCTGATGTTCGACAGTTTTGAATCACTTCTGTGTATCACATTCCGCATTTTTCGGGGCCCCAGTAACAGTCAAGAGCATCAGGAGGGAGAGTAATAATTGGTCACTGGCGTAAGTGTGTCTTGTAAGCCGCTACTTTTGCAGTGTACAAGCTCTTGCCTTGAGGTAAGGATGGCTGCAAAGTTTATGTGCTGCGAATATACTTTCGTATGGCGTGTAAGGATAAAGTTTGTTACCAGGTAGGCGGCAGGGGGAAAAGCTTTCGAAACTGGTTCCTTGAACATTTTATGTAACCACTTCTATCCGACAAATTGGCTTCACTTATAGCTTAGCATAAGAGTTGCCACTACGGCATTGCCTCCGTAGTGCTGTTTCAATATTGGAACTCAGAGACATATGCGTGTTGTCTAGACGGACCACGGGCCGACGGAGGAGGACTTTGAACCCCACGATGAGTACTACAAGCATGAACATCCTCACCACCACCCTTACCTTTCACATCATTACACGTCACACCAATTCCACAAAGATGTCGGATTGGACGACGTGTCTCAGGGTGGCGAGGGACGGTGGAATCATCAAACCTCCACGGCTGCTGCTCAACTGCCTCAAATGTCATCGTCGCAATCTACTGAGCAAGTATGTCTCCTTGTTCTCAGAGTTTTCTCACATTCGTTCAACATGAAGCACGGTGAAACCAATCAGGCAAGATGCAAAATTGAAATCGGGTGAATATAAAGTTAAAGTCTAGTCGGAATTTCTAGGATCCCATTATTTAGTAATTAAATATTGCTGAGTAGGTTTATCTTCTCATTTTGGGAAAGCAGATTAGACCCACCGTTGACCTGGCTTTCGAGTTTGTCCTCAAGCAGGGTGCATATTTTCGGCTTCTAGGCACCCAGCTTTTTGTTGTTAAACGATCGTTGTCTATGAATAGGTGTGGGGCTTTTCAGTTTCCCTTTCACAGGACCGTTGAATGATTTTGATTAACCACACTTTCGAATTTGTTAAGACGAAGTAGTAGCCCAGCGCACTACCTTGTGTAGAACATGGTAGAAGTCTTGGCGAAGATCTACCCCTCGAAGCTAGATGGGTTTGGTTGATTACGCCTCAACCGAAGAAAATTCATAATTTAAGGCTTTATACTTTACTAATTCGTGCGAAGAATCGAAATCGCGAATCAAGTTTTTAATTGCGAAATTGTGAATGTGTGTTTCATAATTGCTTCATTCAACCATAAAGCAACGAGGTTCAAGTGAATAAACAAATTGTGACAGAAAGAAGGCGGATCTGACGAATATGGCAGGTGAACGAGGGGTAGCATTTTGGTGGTCGAACTCTGTGATCTTTTGAGCTGTTGTGCGGAAAGTTAGTCATGAACCTTCCTTCAAACAGATAAAGGCAGGTTTCGTCGATTCAGCGTTCACCAGGACGATATCTTGCGTTTCGACTTTCCCAGATTTGTGAACGATTAGGATATATGTACCGGGAATTTCTGTTCCTAAACCATCCCCAAGAAGAGCTGACTCATGCTTAGTTGAATCACTGTAAGTTTAATCATGGTGGTAGACAATGTTCATCGATGCGAATAATTTGTTTTATCGCTGTTTACAAATTTCTCATTCATAGCTTTGTACATCCGTATTGGGGATAGATTATGACTGGCCAAAACATTCCTGAGAAAGTACGATATTGAGTGGCAGCCTATATCCTCTGAGGTTTGTGGTTTGCCTCTTTAAATACAGACCCACTCCTTCCTTGGTGGTAACTTAAACATAGTGCTTATTTGGCGGTAATCCATTGTCTAATGGGCATCATGTCCATTGAGCTTTCAAAGCCGCATGACTGTACTTGTGTATGACCCCCAGATTGTTTTCTCTTGCGCTCCGCAGCACGGAGGAGGTACGCCACAGCCCCCACCATCACCCTCCAGCCTTCCTCAGACTTGTCAGGCGGCGGTTGCACCGACAATGTCGGAGTCAGTGGCGACGGCGCTGGGTGCGGATCTGGTCACCAAACCCATTAAAGAGGGCTTCTCTTTCATGCCCAACTTCCCTTCCCGTCCATTGGTCGAATCACGAGTACAGGCTACGCCACCACCACCGCCTCCACTTCCTTCGATTCCACTGCAGTCCTCACAATCGAGCTCTACACTGTGGTACTATCGAGACCCCAGTGGGCTTGTTCGAGGTCCATACGATGATGCTACCATGGCGGCGTGGTTCTCTGCTGGCTACTTCCCTATCCAAATTGAAGTGCGACGCGAATGTGATAAGGTCTTCTCGCGTATCAGTAAGTTCCCTGTTGTTCTCGTTTCCGGAGCCGAATAACCGAGATGAGATGAATTGCTTATGAAGTATCACTGCATCATCATTTATTTCCGCGCCTCTATTATCAACAAATGCGAGCATTTTGACTATCCTTTATGTGTGAAAGACCGAAAGATGTTTATTCTAGCAACATATCACGAGACTGCTTTTAACGCAAATCAGAGGCCAGATGCTAGTACGACAGAATCTTCCTTGCATGACTAGCTTTCTTGCACCTTTTTCTTTAAATTTTGAGTAACTTTTACCTTCTTTTGGGAGAAAGATTGAAAGCGATTTTTTAATTGCTACCTTTCAAGATGGTTGAACCTACTACGCCAAAGTGATAAGGCCTTTTTCAAGTAAGCTTCACTCGTTCCCTTGTAGTGCCTAGAATTAAATGGTATTATCTTAACTTTTTGTTGAAAAACGAACATGGTTACTATAGTGCCATTTATCGTTCACAGGTAGGTTCTGTTTTACTCGTTCTCTTCGTTGTCCATTGATCAGTGGCTCTCTGCAGTTTCCCTGGATTCCTAATAAGCCATACCGCCATGGGAGATTTTTTTACTACTGTGCAGAAGACGGGAGGTTGCTGCCACCCGGCGAAAAGGCAACCTGCGGACGCTAAAAGGCTCGTGCACCAATTACTACACGCCTGATTGGTTTTTGTTTTTTCTAAGGGTCTGTCCAAATACGGCTTAGACATTGGTGAATGGAATTCTTTTCTTCTATGTTGGTAAAGTACACTCTCCTTTTGGGCAAAAAAATTTGGTGGTGCTTTTGGCTGTTGAAAGGTAGTCTCACGATTTTGCTGTCCATGAGAATCGGTCGGTTAAAATTTAGGGATTCTCTTTCCTACCTATTGTGAGTAAACAAGTCAAGTGAATGTCTTAACGGTTTTAGCCCTTGCATGTCTGAAGTCATCTTTCCTTGTTAACTTTGGTGTTACGGCCAGCCGATGCGCGACTTTGATAAACCGATATCAATTAACTATACAGGTTCTATTGAGGTCTTGACGCTATAGTTTTCTACCCATTCTTATTGTTTTCTGACCCTTCTATTCGCCAAGAAGCATTCCTACGTTTTCAGGGATGACTTGTAGTTCAATCTTCTCTACAGCGTGTTCATCTTTGTTTTAAAGTCTCATCGGGCATGACTTATGGCGCAGTAGCTACCTTAGGATTAACAAAACTGCCACTATTAATCACAAAGGCGACAATATGACGTCGAGTATTACATCCTTGCATTGAAATCACTCATGAGGTAGGGCATCATGGTAGACGGACCTTCCGTTCACAATAAATGTGGTCATTATTTGTTCAGTCTCTCCATGATCGGAAACAGACTACAAGATGAATATCGAGTGCCAAGGTACCCATCCTGGATGTGCCGGTCCTTCAAATACCGTCCCTTAAATGAGTGAGTCTGTGGTAGGGCCCTCATGACAAGTACAGCCGATTGTAAGTAGTGGGCACCAATTGGCCGAAATGTTGATGGAGTTAGTTCGCTCAAGCGAAGGTGCTACTTAGGGGAACTGAATGCATATAATTCACCTCCCGTCACACTCACTAAATCCTAAACTAGCCGTCTAGCGCTCCTCTTATCAGTATTTTATCAACAACGATTTTGGTTACTTGTAGCGGACTACATAGCCATGCTGGGTCGATTCCCCTTCGTCGGTTCAAGTGACTTGCCGCCCATACTGGAGCATCGTGCAGCGATGCTGGCATCGACAGGGTCAGCTGCGGTGGCACCACCACCACTACCATCCATTGCTGGCATGGTTCCACAGGCACCACCCTTACTGCCTCAACAAATGAACCTGTTACAAACTCCATTATTCCAGTCATCGGTAGCTCTGCCGTCTACTGCTGCTAGTGCATCGATGCCACAGCCACCACAAATTTCTGCTGCAGTCGTTGGTGGACAGTCACCATTGGTCAACCCAAATCAGGTGAGTCCATCGCAGCGATTTTGCTTCCCCTCCCTCTCTCCTCCCTCCTTAAAATTCGATTGGCTTTTCAGTGGTATTACGACGCCTTTTCCAACTTGGTGAGTGAGTGTTTTGGCAGGTCCTATCTGTATGCTTTGCTCCGCAATTTGATTTTCTGTGTGCGCAATTTTTACACCCTGGACTGAATTTTTATACACTTTCGTGCTGACCGTACGCAATTGTTGAAGTGGAGTGAATCCCGGTCGATTTGATGCTCGCATGCTTGCACCAGTGAGAACTTTTTCCTTGAGACTTACAAACCACGTTGAATTGAATTAATGAATGCTGATTCGTCACACATTGGCTCGCGGTGCTGCTCAATCGTGTCTTTTCCCTATGAATGACTAAAGTCGGCGTTCCTCTGAGGTTCCACTTTTTTAGTGCAATTTGTGGAGGCATTGCAACCTTATTTTTAAGAAAATATCACGAGTTATATTCTGGAACTTCTAGTCTTTAGTGGTCTCTTTATGCGCGGAACCAGGAGTAAGCTAACAATCCTGCTCTCTGAATATGGCCTCGGGTATGGAACCATTGTAGATCCCTGTGTAGATTTATCAACTGGAATTGCGTCTTGTGAGGTCTCAAGACAATTTAACCGTGTGGACTACTAGGGAGGGTCGGGTAATAAGTGATATTGCCTCAATCATTTCAGCATTGAAATGAGTTGACCTCGTGTTCGCAATTGATATCCAAGTGAATTATTTAAAAGCTCTAATAAAAGCAGTGGATGCAGTCTTAGCAACACGCTTCGACGTGTTTACTGTTTTAAGGATGATTTAGTGGGAACAGTTTCGAAATATAAAAAATCCAACTGGGCAGACACCATTAAACAGCCTCCTAGATTGGTCAAAAGACGGGGATAAGTCGTGTTCTTGCAGACCACACCTTACTTGCACAACCCATACTGCTAATCAAATACCCGAATGTTTTTGAAAACTGTCAACGAATATTACGGTTCATCTTGTCTAAACCAATGGATGGAAACGTTTTTGCAGGCCGTGAAAACACCTATCACAGCATTAGAAGTGTTTAACTCGAAGACCAAAAATTCCATCTAATGCATCGAAGAAGACGTATCTGAATTTCCGCAGGTGTGCTTGAAAATTACTAAGATGTATTTTTTTTATGACCAACTGACAGTGTCGCTAACATCATCGCCATGAAGGGGGAGCGACGTGTTCCCTTTTTCACTAACACTTGAAACTAAAACTGACCCCATTTTCATCAAGTGCAATGGGTTTTTAGTGTAATATCCTGATTGCGCTTTCTCTTCCCATTGAAGGAGGTAAGCGGCCAAGTGAGTCAAGGTGCTGAATCATCCTTCATTCACTACGGCGATACACGCTCTACGTTACAGGCCTCCAAGAGCATTTTCGATCTGAACTCCCTCACCAAAGCGACGCTGTCAGAGATGGTGAGACTGCAAAGGGACGCCCAACGTCTCTGCGAGCGCGTCTCCGCCCTGGGCATGGATCAGAACCTTCTTGCCAAGTCCTTCGCTGCACTCAGTCTCGGGGCTGTCGAAAACACCGCATCTGCGTCGACGCCGCCTAACATCATAGATTTGCAGCAACTTGAGGCGGCTATCCACAGGCAGCAGCAGGAGGAAAATGAGCAACTGAAGCAACTGCAACAACAACAGGCAGCCATTGAGAGCGTTTCACCTCCACCATCGTCTCCTGTTAAGGAAAAAGAGAATATTAAGGTTGAGGATGATACGGGAAAACTCGCGAAGGTGGAACCTACGCCAGAAAAGAAGCAAGCAGCACGAAAGGATAAGACCGTGAAGGTAGACCAGCCTCCGAAAACACCGCCCAAAACGGAGCTACCGACTCCGATGGCGACGATAGCGAAGAAAAAGAAAAAGAAGTCTAAGGCTGCGGCGGTGGGAGTGGATGCGGAGAAAGTGGTGGAGGAGAAGGAGACGGTGACGATAGTTGCTGGGGCATCTCTTGAACGCGATAGCGACTGGATTGTCGTGCCGTCGACTGGAGCTACATCCCATACACCAGCCCCTGCTTCTTCTACTTCCTCTCAACAGGAACAGGACCAGCAGCAGCAGCCGAAGAAGTCGAAGAAAAAGCGAAAGCCGAAGTGAGTTTCCTCCCCTTCATACTCACAAACGTAATTTTAACACCGCTTTCTCTGCTCAACCATGCATTAACACATCCAAGTATTCTCTTTCAGTTGAAGACGACGAATAAAATTAGTAGAGGAAGAGCTGTAACTTTTCTTGTACATGCTATTCCACTCTGGTTCTAGACGGATATTCAAGGCTTTTTTATATGTAAATTGGTGCCCTGAGAGGACACGACGCTCTATTGTGTGATGCAGCTGCTGCAATTTGTTCCTTGTGTGCATCAAATGTCTGGGTCACTGATACGAAAAATGTTACCCTATCAACTACTTCAATGGCTTAATAAAGCTTCAGTTGACATGTTTTGTAACTTTGCTAAAACTCGCTTTTCCGAGCCCAATTGCTGCTTTCAGTTCATTCATCATGTTACTTAAAGAACCGTTATTTGTCAGATTGTGTGGTTTCAGGAAGTTTGTGTAGTGCCGGTAAGGGCTGGATAAAGAAATGTCCTACATACTGTCCTTTAACTTACCTCTGATCCCGCCAATTTTTAATCACTTTACCCTTGGTATAATTTGTGGATTTGACCAATTTTGAATTTAATTTAGCCCCATTTGCACAATCGTTGCTTACTAATCCTCTCAAGACCACAGAAACATCAATAGAAATGCACTTAAGAGGTAGATGGGACGCCGAAATAACATTCAAGCCTGCCTTTCAAGAATGGCAATGTTTGTAACAACGTGTCGTTGGATCGCCTATTGCCTTTAACACGGATCAGACACTAAAAACGTCATCGTTATTGAGTTTTTTCATGGCCATGGCATTTGTTGAATTCTGACACCGTCACTTTTTCTATCACCCCTGTTTGAATGCTTTCCTCATGCCAGACCGACAGCAAGTGAGCTACAACAACAGGCCTGGGAACAGGAGGAGCAACGACGACGCCGGATGAACGCAGAGCGAATCGCTCAAGCCGAGGCAGAGGCGGCTGCAGCCGCAGCAGCGGAGGTGGCGGAGGCTGCCGCCGCTTCCGTTAAGATATCGGCAGCAGCGCGTCGTCAGCAGGAGGAGGCGCAGCGACTACTGCAGCAGCGCAAAGCCCGTGAGGCTGCTATGCGGGAGGCTGCTGCCAACCTAGCTCACCTTAAATTACCCGCTGCTGCTCGTTGGGGTGCCGCTTCTTCTAGCAATGGAGGTGGTGGTGCCCCTACTTCGATGGCAGACATCTTTGCATCGCAGATGCAGGAAGAAGAGGTGGGTTGATTGCTTGATTTTTACCATTTTATCATTCTCATGCTTTTTGCTTCTATATTGCTGCACTTTTGGATTTGTTCACCGAGGTCGAACCGTGACCCAAAATCCCCTCTGTAATTACCATTGCCAATAATTCAAATACAGGCTATATTTTGCACTTGATGATTTTGGTTATTTTTTAAATCACTCTAAATGGTGATGGCATCTCACTTTTCTGTCCTCTACTCTCTTCAGGATAGAAGTCGTTTATTTCGCATTTTTGAAGATTGTTCAGTGTAGACTACCACGTCATGCTTGAGGGTCGTTTTGCACTTGTGTTTTATTAGAATCTTTTGGGTCGTTGTCTAGTTATTTTGTGAAACGACCTCCAATTTAAAATGCGCTCATTTTTAAATAAAACGTCCGGGATGCGTGTTTAAGCTTTTGATCTAATCTCTGTCTATCCGGCAAGTCTTTGATGTTTCATTTCTGATACTCGCTAGTGGAGGATTGATTCATATACAGTTCTTCGCAAAGGTACATGTCATAATCAGACGTCTTGGTTCGTGATCTCCGTGGACTGGAAGTTTTCCCCGCTTGTTTTGTAAAATCGAATTCGAGCACTTCCAAGTCTTCGTACTTTAGCGGGGAGAGTACCTAGGAAAAGCACCGAATAAAATACCTGACCGGCGTATGCTTCACCATGATTTAACCACTTGAATGACCCCACCTGGGCGCCAGATGGGCGTCGATGAACTAAAAGTTCCATTGGAATCAATCAGCAGGTGTAAATAATTTGCCCTTGGCTAGATGAAATCTACCAGTCCCGGAAATGCCATTAATAGAACCGCATTGTAATCAGTGGACTCAGGTCTTTCTTAATTTCTCACCTTTTTGTGTATGCACTTTTTACGAATGGCAGCGCTTACTTTCTGCTTTTTATTGTTTTTGTTTACCGTTTCATGCGGTAATAGAAGTGGTTGTGGGTGTGTAAGCGTGTATACGCCTATTCGCTATGTTTGCCTATTGGTGAACCTTACCGATTTATAGTTCCTATTACTATTTCTTTGGAGCTACCACTTCTATAGAAAACCTTTTAACGAATGAACTTTTAGCTTAGACTTAAATGCATGAAAAAAAAAACAAATCTTTATTTGTTTGAAAACGGTTGACATGACTAACTGAGGGTGTTCGATTTAGAGATGAGCCCCCTGGGTCGAAGGCTTTCCTTTGCCCCGCAGAAACGCGTTTTTTTCTTCATGCATGAAGTTTGGCTGTACATGGCCTTTCTGCTTCAAATGTTCCTTTTCCTATAACAAGTAACACCCGAATGCATGCCTTAGATCGTAATTAGACATATTTTTTCCCGAAACTGAATGTAGTTTTTAGCGCCTTGAATGATTTAGCTGGCTTTTTCGAATTGTGGGGTTCAACTGATTCTATTGGAACCGCGCTCATCTATCGGGAAACCTGAATTTATATACTTCAGCACAATGGAATTTCCATGGATCATGTATGCTACAGCACTCATAATGCTCGTACTCCAAATCACAACCGGGTACAACCTTATTTTCGAAAAGATCTGTAACCTTTATCCTAATATTTGGTACAACAACTGGCTTATTTCCTTTTGAAGAGTAACATCCACGCCAGACTGACAGACACCTCGATTCTCAGCTATCTGTCGGAATGTTTAGAGTCAATTCTACTCAAGGCCACAACTGGCAATTTCCTTTCCCTCCACTTTCTTTTTCTTGTGGCATTCGCGCTCACTCCGTTCAAATTGCATAAATTCATGGACAAGAGTGTGGCACACAAACGTACTTGGCAGTTTGGAGGCAGAATGGTTAGTATGGTGGTCTTTTTTGTGCACTCGGCCATAAATGATTGACCCTTGCGTCTCCCTCTCTCACGCATGCATCGAGCCACCACACACGTGCATACGTGGCAAAATATGGTGTGGCGTGGTGTACATGGTCAAGTTTGCAGATCTCTCCTGCATTTCTACCTCTCAACAATTTTCATCAGTGGCGTGCTTTCAGACCTCGTTTTGCCCAATGCTTTCCTCCTGTCACCCTCCTGACATGGTGAATCGGCTGACTCGGGAAATGAGTGATGGTGGTGGTAGTGATGGGGATGCTGAAATTGTATTAGGAGAATTCTACGAGAGGGCAAATCACTCCAAGTTATTATGGACTGGGACGCAATCATCGGTGGGAAGTAAAAAAAAATTTAATTTGTGCCTTTAAATCGTCCTGATGTTTGAACTGGTATAGTATTCATCAACTGAAGTGAATGATTTATACCCTTTTTGTACTCCTTTTTAACCCGCTTTTGAACACATAGGCAGATAAGCATCCTCGGTGCCCGAGCTTGGTCAAAAAAGTGGTGAATATGAACTCCTCGTAATGAGGAAGACAGATTGACGCAGTGATTGGTAGCATTTGCACAAATTGTATTCATGACAACCCTGCAGGCTTTCTCTGTGGTGAATCGCCAGGGCCCTCGAGATATCTGAACGCTGGTTAACGTCGCAAATTGTTTTATTGAAATTACGCTACAGCAGTCGGAAATGTCGTTAACCTTAGCCTTCTAAAATGCTATCCGCAATTTAGCTAATAGCTCTTTTTCTACAAACTGCTTCACATGAATGAGACACAACACTCTTATTGATGAGGCATTCAGCTCCGAAAGGTGACGTAGCGCACTTATGAAAATGCTGGCAAAGGAAATGGCAGAGTTTATTTTGGTGTGATATTAGAGGCATTTCCTGTCTTCCGAATGCCAAATTTTGAAGCTCTCAAGTGCAAAATGAATATTCCATTACCAACAATTTTACCTCGAAAAGGTAGAAAAGAGTTAGTTTATCAGTTTTTCGCGTAAAATCCACTCATTTCCTCCTCAGTTTGAGGGCTGGGAGCGGGGGTGAGGTAGGGGCTTTATCTTTCATCAGTGTGCCTCTGCAATCTATTCATTCAGTCACCTTGAGGTGGATTTATTTGTAGTTATAGTATATTTACCAAACTCTGAGGCATCGAGTGCAGAATTCTCTTAAACCATTGCTTGCCCTGTGCTGCAACAAGTTTGTTATAAAAATGATGCATTTTGTTGGTCGCATTCACTTATTACCATTTAAAATTATATGTAATTTATATGTATTCCCGAGTCGTTCCTAACGTTGTGGCAGGGCGTGTCAGTATTTAGGAGAGTTTACTCTCGAATGGAATGCGTGGGGGGGAGAGGGCTATGGGTGCAATTGGGGCTTTATTTTGTCGTGTTAAGCTTGCAACGAGGCTGATCTCAATTAACTTATCTCTCACGTCTCCACCGGCTTAGTTAGATCTCAACTCCGCAAGTGGTAGTTTGGGTCTCATTGACGAAGCTGTCAGGTCAGGTCAAATCGGGTCAGGCTGTCACCATATGCGTATGAGGGAGGGGTGAGTCATGCTTGCAATTTACCATTTCAGCCAGGCATTCACTCTCACCCACTTGCGCCTTCCAAATTTGTTATAGTTTGCGCGGGCCAAGCCTGCTCCTCCTGCAACCTTCGCCTCGAAGTTGGCCGGTGGCTTGTGCGGCTCCGCGTCTTCGACCGCACCCACGCCAGTGGCAACCAAATCAAAGGTGTTTGTACCAGTTGAAGTACCACAGAAAGCACTTACGCAGTCAAAACAGGTGAGGTCGCACGTTTTTGCCTACAATTCAGAAAAACAATGCAACTTTTAAAAAAGTGATATACACCTTGGAACCTAGGAGTATGTGAAAGGGAAGAATCCAACTTTTTCCAAGCTTGTAAAAGCTAAAATTGTTAGAAGATGGAGTATTTTCAGGTCAAAGATCCCGGAGCTTAGGCGTTATCACTTGTATTGTGGAGCACCAGATTTGGTCTCTCTGAAATAAAGCATCATGAGCATGCCTAAGTTGTTAGGCCCATAAACTTTGACCTTTCAGTGATGGTCTTTCGATTAGACTTCAGTTAACCTATTAAGGGAGAAATGAGCACTTTTTACTTTCCATGAGATTTTTGGTCGTGAGTTGAACCTGAAATACTCACTCATGGGCTGGCACAAGATCTACTGAGTTATCATTTCTCTGAGTCCTTTTATCATTAGGAGTGGTGGCAAACGATTGGCTTTTTTGTTTTCCTTCTAGGTTGCTTCTACACCAAAGATGGCTGCTACGATGAGCAAGACGAACGTTATCTCAATTTGGGATCTACCCACCGATTCTAATGCTATCAAAGCGGCCAACTCAAAAAAGACCAAGAAAAAGGTAAGTGCTTCTTTTAACCATTTCTTTTACTGCGCGAGGTGCCTTGATGTCGAGGCGTCGCTACAATACCCATTGGGCCGATTTTGCATTTCTGTGATAGCGTACCGAATGTGCGGTGTGGACTGACCTGAAGTTTAGGTTTCCATTCTCGTTTAGCCCCTTGTCGTCGGAGTTGTAAGTCAACCTAATGTCACACCAGTAGGACCACTTTCAAACATCTTGATGCACTCGCAGGCAACCGGTCCCAAGACTTGGAATTAATGTATGCTTACATCCCACACCCTCTGCTCATAACGGATCTTGGTGCTTAGCAGAACATCGTCTCTTTCCCTTGGGTGTACTTTTGGAGCTGTTTTAACTATGCGGTTACAGTTGTCTCACTAAATTTGCCAGGACACCCGCAGATACAGCTAACATCTAATCTCCTCTAAAGAGTTATATGCGACTTTTAAACACCATTCGTATTCTGAATTAACCTTGCGTATTCCCTTTTAAATGAACCAAGCTGCTCGTGGTGACCTCATCGAGAAACGTTTGAATGCTATGCACTCATTCCTGTCTCCAGGCCCTGTTCCTTCCTTTATACTTTTTTACCAGAAAGGCTTGTGTAGCCAGAATAGGGGAGGCTTGCCATTCCCTCAGTAAAACTTCCTCCTCGCCTTCGGTTCAATTACTTTGGCATGTTGTAGCAAGTGTTATGTGTCCTAGTCGCATCGGAGGACATTATCAGATGCACCCACTTGGAATAATCTTTATTGTCGGTACGCAGAAGGGCCGTAAAAACAGACGAACTTCGAGGAATTTATCGCTCATTTAGCGTTCTTTGGCACGTCAGCCGAAATCGGTGCACTTTTTTTTTGAAGTCGCAAAGGACGTAGGGCCGAAGCGTCTGAAAGTGGATTCATTTTTACGCTTACTGCGGGCACCTACTATCACGTGGGCCAACTCCCTAAACTTAATGAACAGGAGACGGGTGAAATGATTACAGTGTTCTGGAGACAGGCTGTATAGATTTCTTTTCTCTCACCGACAAAATATCTGCTACCTGTGAAGGCAGACAGATAGACAAAACCAACTATCCTTCGGGAGATCAAAACAGCCGATCATTACTTAAGTGAAATTTGTGCGTGAAAAGCACCTAGCTACTTAACCCTTACGAGATTTGAATAAATTGCGTGCCACCAAGGCAGCTCTGCTGTCCGTGTGTTTGTGAAAGAAGTGTATTGTTCTCCAAACACGGACAGGAAAAAGAAAACGCTTCAACCTTTGTTTGAGTGGAAAGTGGAGAATTATTTCACTGGCTGGATGCTCCTTTCAGAAGGCGAACGCGAGCACCCATTTGCTCACGGGACCCATCATCTCGTTGGCACCGAAGGCACGCGCGGAACTGGTGCGGTGGTGTGAGGGCCAACTCTCCGGTTTTCCCCGGCACAATGTCGACATTCCAACTCTCATCTCCCTCCTCTGTGATATCGAGGAGGCCGAAGATGTACGTCCATCCATCTCTCTCTGTCCGGATTTGCGCACACCTTACCAGATTACTCTCCACGTTACTCGAGCCTCGACCTACAAAGGGCGTAGTTTCCTTGAAAATGGCATTTTGATGCTTTTGAGACGAAATAACGACTTTTTTATTTCCAACAATGTTTGATTACACTCCCGCACCACCAATGAGGGTAACTTCTGAAGCGCTCGAATTTGGCAAACCTGAAACATCGACTTCATTTCTTCTCTCCAAATTGACATGGTGGATTTTTTTTCCACTGAGCAAAACGAATACTTTGTCGCCTAAATTAGACTATTCAGAAACGTTTCTTTATGATATTTTATCCTTCTTAGTCGATTTGCTATTTCACATTTCGTTGGCTTATTAAAACGCCCGCACTTGTTGTTAAATTGCTACCTTCTAATCCACGAATAAGGTGCGTTAGTTTTTATTCCATAAGCGTAGATGCACGAGCAAAGACATTGATTCTGACGGAGGGTTCGTTGCAATCACACCACCATGAGTTTACAAGGTATGCCTGGTTGTGTGTCATGAGATCTCTCCGCTGGTTCACACGTGGATGTGGGTGCACCTGCTCACAGAGTATTCGCTTTTCAGCTCGAGTCGAGGCTCAAACATGACCGACTTTTTGGAATGTCGATCTGCCATCTACTGTTACCTTGAGCGTTTCAAACTAGTCATTGCTTTTGACATCCTCCATTTTTAGTGGTGAAGTTGGGTAGTTTGGGCTTGCAGTCTTCAAGCGAGATGGCAACAAAATCGGTTGGTTGATTAAAATTTCTTTGTATCATCTCTTTTACAGTCGGTGCTTCGAAAGTGCCATTCAGGTAGTGTAAAAATGGCCACCGTTTTTTTGCCTTCCAATATTTCCATCAGATTTTGGAGGAGCGCAGGACACATGCTCGCTTTCCTGCTTGAGGTGGCCTTAGTCTCTCTTCCACTTGGTCTTTGTTCACATTCACACCGTCGACCAATTTTCTGCGCATTCTTTCAACACCCATAGCGGCAAATAGTGTGGTGCATTTTATTACCAAAACGACCAGACTCTTATCAGGGAACATCACCTTGGTGATAAAAGTGTTTTGGTGGGGCAAATTGGTTGATGTCGCCCACACGCATAACTTCGAACCCATCCGCTCATTCACGATCCGCTTTCAGTTCCTGCTTACCTTGGTGTCTTAACAAGAACAATGGGGCTTCTCGCTGTTCCACTCACCTCTAGATTTAGCCACTACTCTAGTTCTGCCGTTTGGTGGACTTTATTTGGTCTGCTTTCTTCGACCAACTGCCTCTCGGTTACTCCTGGTTTAGTTTTAAGGATGAGCAGTTGCTCTTCCCCTTCTCCAATACCCTGAGGCTGGATTGATTGTGGCAGGGACTGTGGTAAAGCTGGAGAGCACTTCAATGTTTACCCTATAGACTATTCAGGGTTGATGCGACCTCACCTTTATGCAGCAAGGGCGCTTGAATCGCCGTTATTGTTCCTTTTTTTTTCGAAAAAAACTAGGCCATAGTACAAAGTCCTTTAGTGACCATCACATTTTTCTCATTACAAAGCTGCCACAGCATTTGTTTCGTTAAAATATGCTACCACTCGCGTCACATGCAATTGTTAACAGTACGTTTTTTGCATCTCGACACATTCAGCTGACTTCAAAGTAATTCAGGAGTTAAGTTGCCTATTCTCGTTCTCTCACTCAGGGGGGAGGGGTGCAAAGCTCTAATCTCTTGCTCGCAAATGACGCTCTTCATTGACGTCCTTTTTTCTTCACCACCAATTGCAGGTTCTTGAGTGCATCGAATCATCTTTCGGCAAGTCGCAACGCGTGTCCAAGTTTTCCAAGGCCTTCGTCGAGAAACGCGCTAACCTCATGGGTGCCACTGCTTAAGAAGGTGGATGGGTAGGTAGGTGCGTCTTTCTACAACCTGACTGAACGATCGCCTAATTGCGCAGTTGCAAGAACTACTAGGTCTATCTCATACTGCGTTTCTTTCTCTCTCTCAGCTGGATCGTCATCACCTCTTCCTTCTCTCCAGCCTCCAGGTCCTCCTCCTATCATCTTGGTCCACACTACCATCTAGTTTTGCAGCGTCAACACTGTGTCTGTGTCTCTTTCTGTGAGTGTGTTCTTGTGTGTCTCTGCGTGACAGACACCCATCAATCACTTTTTGTGGTCCAACTTTCCCTTCTCATCTCTTTCATCTTCCTTTTGTACACAATGTAACTCCGGCATAATTTCGCTTGTGTCGCGAAGGTTCACCTACACCGCTCCACTTTACTTCTCGTTCCTTTTTGAATGCGCGCACAGCTTTCTTACTCCGATCTAGTACTTGAAAACGCTCCTCTCTTTTCCTCTCAGCCTCCGACTTCTGAGGCAGCCTGAGCACCACAATAAATCGGGAAAACTACTTTTTATATCTGTATACAATATATTGAAAAACTCATGGTTCATGAACCTAAGCCAGCTTGTCTTTCTTTGAGTGCTTTCAGAACTGGCATCGGTGGGGGAATTGGGTTTGTTTGCGACATGATTCGCGGAGAGAGAGTTCTTGTGGGGAGGAGTTTGGTGCAGTGCTGGTTGAGTCATGGGGTTGTCTAGTCTAAGGCACGTGACAGTAGGTTTTCGCATGTAGCAGATATTTTGTTAAGAAAATAGCTTTATCGGTGTACCGGAGCGGCTGCACTGATATGTACAGCTGTTGCTGGCTTGCTGCTGTAGGTTAGTTTGTCAAATCATTACTTATACCCACAGAAAAGTGCAAATTTCACGTAGAAATCAAAAACGCAGTTTGGCGGTGAAATCAAATAAACACATTATCGTATGAATCTAGATATTTGTACAAACACCATTAAGCATCGCAAATAACTCGAAGCTACTTCAATCAGAATGAGAAATGTCAGTCACTTATCATATCTCTTTGTTTTCTTTAGCTGATACCAATGTTTGCATTCGTGACCCCCAATAAGCGGTATTATAAGATACAATAAGGCCGAATCCAAATAGGTATCAAGCACTTCCGTCCAACCAATTTTCTCACCCTTTCTTAAAATTCGACAGTTAGCTAATGAAGAAATGAAACGGCTTACCCACCTGTAATTTATATTCCTATAACCAATGGAATCGGAACCTAATGTGTTTTAACCTATGTGGAAATTGTGCTTTAGGTTGGTAAATGCTACTTACTAGTTAACAGTTCTATTAGTGAACCTTTTAAAGACACTCAGACAAGTTGGTTTCAATTTTTAAATCCGAATTTAGGCACAATTTCTCGCTGAACGCTCTCCTAAGCGTGAGTTACTTCGAAAAATTCAGGTCCAAAATAATGGTGCTAGATCCCCTATACATGCTTAAACAACTGTTAAGTGCAGGAAAGTATTTTTCGGGAAAATTTATAAGTAGGGAACGTATTACTCTTAGGTGTATCGCTAACACTTACAACCTTTATGAACAGTTGTAGGATTCTAACCCAATAACCTATTTGTTATAAAGAGCAGCAATTCATGGATCCAATCGATGCTTCTGAGTCGACAGGGGAGCAAACAAGCCCTGATACGTTCCAGACAGAGGGGAACAATGAGGATAAGTAAGCTCTTTTTAGCACTGAGGTGCCACAATTTTTGCTCATTATGATATGATTAGGTCGGTACTTTAGTGTATTCTGTTCATACTCTCAGTTTTGTTATGGATAAAGCTATGTGCAAATTATATTTTAATGATCTAAACAGAAGTTGTTACGTTCTACCTTTAGTACTTTTGACATAGATTGGAGCGGTGAAGTTTCCAAATGGTGTGAGGGGCAAATCCTTCGTGAATCCACGGAATCTTTGACGAGGTTGCTTCTTGAACAAGTAAAGGAGCAGCATTTACAGGTCGACCAAATTTTCCTTGCATTATATTTGCTAGTCCCCGTTACTCTCTCCTTAATAGTCTTCCAAATACTAAATACGCCAAAAAGCTTGTCTGTGGTTTTAATGACTTTCATTTATATCCAGCTTTTACAACTTTTCGTTGTACTCAGACGAGAAACTCTGTTGCTAATTCTGCTACGATTTCCACAGATAGTTTTTATTCGTACCCTCTCGAAAAATCGGTTGTTTGGTTGATTTGAATGAATCGTTACAGTATTGTGTTAAAGGTAGAACACTTTGAACTCTCTACGAAATTAAGCAAGAAATATTAGAAAATTGGACATTTGATTCAATGCTTAGTGCGTTAGATTAAAAGTAATCCCTTCTTTGATTGCCTTTGATCAACAGCTTTAAGTTTAAAAGAGTATGCAAAGGGGAAAATGCCTCAGCTGTTGATGAAGAGGCATACACGGGAGAGAATGGGTCCAGTAAGAGTGACCTTAACTGTAAGCTGGTTTTGAGATCTGATGTAATGCAATGCCCCTACATAAGTATTTTAGTCAAGTTTTGGATGCACTCCAACGCTGATAGCAAAACGAAAAGCAATCGCTCATTTTTTGGGAGATTAAAAGATTTATTACCCATTTCTTTAGTAGATAGCAGAAATGCGAGCCAATGAAGCTCGTCATCAATCAAGCATCGAAGATATTAGGAGGAGTTATGACAAGGAGCTTCTCCGTCTACAGACTCTCCTTACAAAACACCAGGTATTAAATCGTCTAATCACCGCTCTAATAGCATTATGAATGAAGTAATCTACTACTGCTTTTGTTCCTTCTCCTTTGGAGACTCGTTCGGGCATCAGTCTTAATGGCTCGTCGAAAGAAGTAAAAGACGTAGGAGCAGAAGAACACGCTAGTGAGGACCCAAAGAGCACATCTAGGGAGACGGAACTTGAAACGGAAATTGATCTACAAAATCACTTGATCGAAGGCTTTCAAAGGGAGAATGAGGCCCTAATGAAGGAAAACAAAGAACTAAAACAGGTGGCTTCTAGCTTCTCATTGGCATTATGATTGCTACAAAAATTTGGTGAAAATTGCTGTTATCTTCATGATGTGATGCTTTTGCAAATTTACAGCATATTTAAACTTACAATCAGTTAATGACTAGGTATGAAAACCTTGAATATCATTAGAAATTATTCCTTGCTTTTTTGTAAAACAACAAGCTACTGAAGACAATAGTCCTGTCATGGCTTTTTAACAACGAGGTATGACGATTATGCGAAGAGCCGATAAGTTGGACATGTTAAGTATTTAGCTATCTGTACCCATCCATCCTATATCCATCTATCCATCCACCCATCCATCCATCTATCCATCCTGTACCCATCCATCCATCCCGTTTCCATCCGCTCAAGTCGATTCTGTTTATTAATGAAACACACATTAACTTAAGTACACCGTATGGAAATTAAATAACCAAACATTCAGCATTGCATCAAGTTTTCATAATCTTCAAGAAACTGGCCTCCACACTCATTCCCTCGGAGGATGCAAATGCTATTGCAGAGAGGCTAGTGCACGAGAACGCCCGTTTGCAAATCGGCTTTCAACAAGTCAAGGATGAACTGAACGCACTGAAGTCCACCCACGAGTCGGCTCCTAAGAACGAAAAGAAAGGTATCGGTAATAATTCCCTGGCTGGTAAATGCTATTCATCATTTTTAAATAAATTTCCTACACAATTCTTGTTTTGAAGGCAGAAAATGTTTTAACCGACGCAGTATGGGGATGTGCTAATTAATCCACTTATTTTAAAAAACCATCCTTTTAAATGAGCCCTCATCTTTGCCTAACTGTTGTTACGTATTCATCTGCACTAATAGCCATGCTTTAGCATTCTTCGAAATAATTCTGTCCTTGATAGTTATTTTTATTCAAAATACTGTTAACTTAAATGGGGGAGTTGACCTCACACTCTATAATTTCTCTAACTTTTAAAGGTCTAGAAATGTAGGTTTTTTATAAAACTCAAGTTAAAATCACTTTGTTTTGTAGAAAATAGCACCCATAACATACAGGAGGAACTGGAACAATCTCTGAAAAGACTTGAGGAAGAGAGAGATCTGAATCGTGGGCTTCAAGACTTCCTGCACAATCTGGAAGCTGAGGTAACCCCATATTTTTCCCACAAGGCACTCTTTTAATAGCTCAAACAAACCAAAGAGGAACAATCCCGCTTACAAAGTCTCCTCTCCACTTCCGATTCAAAGCGGATGAAGGAGGTGAAAGATCGTCAAAACCGCATCGTAACCTTAAATGCGGAACTGAAAAGGGTGCGCCAGGACTATATTACGGCAATGCAACGAGTGCAGGAGAAGATGCGATGGCAAACCAACACCCAGTCCATCTCTCGCCGACACGTGTCCACGATCAAAAAACAGGCAAGGTTCCTTACTACTTATTAGTCAGTAGGCTATTACCGCAAAACGTATTACTGCTGCTCTATGTCTAAGTGCGCTAAATTTCTCCATTTCTATCCCTCTAGAAGCTTGAAATAATGAAATTGAAAATGGAGCTGGAGAAGAAACAATGTATGAGGTCCTCGAAAAGTAAAGTGGAGGTAATTAACATAATTTATTCTAAAACTTCGCTTTTTAAAATTGTAATTCAAGGATTCGTGATTTAACAAACATTTTTTAATATTTAGAATCCTTTCCTAACAACGGTAACAATGGATACTCAAACAGATCACATTCAAGTATCTACGGCTGAGGTAGACCTTCGGTTGTACCGCCTATTTTTAGACACAAACGGCAGTAACTCCAAAAGACGTCCCAGATGTGGCCACTCCTGCCGGTGGGGGCACCGTAAGGCGCTCTTCTTGACAAGGATTTGAATTAATAGCTCGTTTTTACTTTTTCTTCTTCTTTTGATAGGAGCATGACTTTGCACACGGAGATGGTGACACACGATATTCAGCCCTCGTGGAAGAACTCCAGGAAGAATTAAGAGCGTCACACCAGCGTAGTAAACGATTAGAGGCACAATTAAATACCTTAAGTCGAGTCCACATGGCTGTGATCACAGGACGATCTCCTAAGGAGGCCTTAAATTGGGATTCTGGTGTGAAAATGGGAAAGCTGAATTTTGAGGGGTATGTCGAGGGATATATGAAGAGGTCATGCTATAAGGGCAGTGACCGCACGCACTTTCGTTAGAAGTTTCGGCCGTCTTACTTTAGTTTTACCATTTACAAGGAGGTTTTTGGAGTAACTTTTACCCATTTGGAAGGTGTTTTTATAAATATTACCACCACCTAAATTTTTAACCATGTTGATACGCATAGTGGTTTTGTCTCTAAAGGTAATTTAAAGGGCACTGGTCCGGAAATAGGTCTATTACAAGCACAATGAAAAAGTGAAAGTAAAGATGTCGAGCCCAACGTCACTGGTGTGGGGACCGAATTGCCGAAAGAAATTCTTACACAACGACGAAATAGTTCCCTACAATGCCTAGTCCAAGGTAGATCCCTGAGGTTCTGTCCCGATTTTACCCCCTTATTCCGTCTGATTGGCTTTCATAATTATCCTCATATCCATTTGGTAGTAGAAAGTGTCGAAATTCAGTGATTAGTTTATATTTTAATACTTGTATGCTAGAGTGGGTAAAAGCTTGTTTGAATTCGGTCCCGTCCCATTTCTGGTCGTCATACACAAACAAAAAATGTGGTGTTTGCCAAAGCCGACTGAAATTTGGGTGGTTTAATGCCATGTATCCGATCTAAATGTGGTTTCTCCTTGATGCAATTACCTAACCCATCATGTTCTTAGCCGGGTTCGCGAGGTGTCAGACATAACCCATAGCAATAATACCGACAATCTTACACTTAAAGAAGTTAAAAGCTTGCCACTATAAAAAAGGCTTTCGAAAGACGATAAAAGTAGGAAATTGGCAGTACAAGTGGGCTTCAATGCTACCCTCGTACAATAGACCCATATATCAAAATAACTTTCTTCTGTTGCAGACATCTCAACAACGAACGTCCAGTCAACAGCAAGGACGAGTGCTCTGCTTCCTATTGGCGCTCTATTGCTGAAAAACGCACCCACGATGTTGCCCTCTTGAGCAGGGAGATGGACAAACTCACCAACTTACTGACGGAAATTAGCACGCGAAAATCGCTTACAGCAGGCTTGTCTACGCAATCCGCTAAGGGAACTGTTTAGTTGTTGGAAGAACGTTGTTTCAGTGGAAGTAAATTGATCAGGGTTACTAACTTGTCTGTGATTTTAATAATCTGTTTCCCTCGATTACGAAGGAAGTCAAATGTACTTCTTTCGATTGTTTGTGAAACACACATGAAAATCTTTTCTTCACAACCATTAAAATCAAAGCAATGCAATTTCATAAAAGCAGAAAACTACAAATCTTGAATGCGTTAATTATGTCTACAGCATTGGTAAAGAGAAAAGAAAATAGTCAAGTCGCAGGGGGGAACGGTGGTGTCTAGTGCGAGGCCGACCGACATCAAAGGCGATGAGGATGACATTTTTATGTCGTAAGAGCCGGAGATCACTATAGAGCCGTAGATGACGGGGCAAGTTATCCCGTCATCGGGACTACGTAGGCAACCAATTGGTGTATTCGTATTAGCAGGTTATAACTAGGCGGGAGAATGGCAACAGAAATCCCCTACTTATCTGCATGAGTAGAAATAAGATACAAATTCAAAGCACACTATTTGGAAATTGGAGGTTCTCAATTCTTAATGGATAAATTAAGGCTACTGTAAACTAAGCGCCAGGCAGATTAAACAGTCAAGTAGATTTTCTCCGTCCCTCCATTCCTCATTCTTCCAATCTGCCAACTCCCTCACAAGACCCCTTCGCCATTCCTTGCAGATGTGATTTGATGGTCGGGTAGACGCCCGACATGCTCCGTATCCAACGCTTCATCAATACTTTAATAAAGGACCGCTTAACTACTAAATTTATGGGGATGTCATTGTGTGCCTAATGAACCCCCTTTCTTCACAATACCCAGTAGTGGCCAAAAAACAAGGAGTTTGGACATCTAATCAACTAATTAACCAATTACGAGAAAGGTAAAGTGATTAAAAAGTAGAAGCATACTGCAGATGCCATCCATCGCTTGTGCATCCCCAGCCTCCACACAAATCTGTTCCAGCAGTTTGGGACGATGCGAACTTGCCGTCGTCGACGATTAATCCCTAATGCCGGGTTGTGGAGGTGGAGGAGAGAAGGAAATACGCCAGAAGCGAATGCGTCCACCACGATGCGCTACGATTAGGCGTCGACAGTAGACTTTTACATCGCGGCCGGTGACAGGTGTGGTCTAAAACTTTGCTCCCGTACTTCCGCCTGGTTGCATAGGTGTATTGTAATAGGCGGCAGTTTTTCTACTCCAAATTTGTGGAAGAGACGAATGATACGGTGTGATGGTATTAAGCGAAAACCTGTCAGAAGTGTGCCCACAGGAATAACAAAAGCAAACAAGCATTGTTGATGACAAATGGCAATGCTGGAAAGGGCAAGTGTGTCACATTAACACGTCACGATGCGGTGCGACGATCTTCCACCTGCTTGATCCGCTCTGAATTGGAAGTGAGGTAAAGGTTTCGTTAGTGGAATTGTTCCTCTCCGGTTCGTTTGAGCTAGTAAGAGACTGATATGTTGGGGAAAGCATGGAATTAGCTCGACTTCAAGTTTGTGGAGGATACCTCGAAGTCCACGGTTAGGACGTCTCTCTCCCTCACACCTTTTAAGAGCTAATTCTTGTTTTCCTTGTCAATCGTGGGTGCTAATTCACGAGTTAATTCTAGCATTTTTTGATTTTCAAACAGTCTCGAATTATTAATAAGAAATTAGTGAATAATTCAACAAAAAAAGGAGCAAAGCTTCTGATTATGTGGATAGGTGAAATGTCACCACTGGAAATTCACAGAACTTTTGACAACTCAGTTTATCTAAACAAAAAAATATCAGTGATACAAGGCATCGGACTGATGCCTGTTGGATGACGTGTGTCTATGTCTATCTGCAAAAACTAAGATTAACCTAAAAAACTGTGCTATGTATTTGAGGTCAGTAAAATTGTGCAATCATTCATTTCTACAAACGACAATCGTTCACGCCGATAAATGTCACACTCTCCGCGACCATGAGGTCAATCTTTGGGGACAAATGTCCGAACACCCCCGTCCGTCGTTACTTCAACACGAATCCATTTTAGCGTTCTTTTTTATTCCTTGTGGACTTGGATTTACAAGCACCATTTCTGGGTGTAATTTCTTAACGCTTTAATCTGTGCTTTTGGAAGGAAGATTAATTATTATTGCTTCCAATACAGCCTTTGTACATATTTATTGCATTAAAGTGCAAGGAAAATGATGAAAGTTTTTAAAAGTCGCTTTTTGAATAAGTACAGCTTGTAGTAGTCCTTTTAACACTTTTAGATTTGATAATTTAAATAATTACGCTAGCGAATGCACGGCTTTCCACTTTAAAGCAGAAATTACGTACAAGGATTTGTTTCAAAAGGCTGGTCGCCATTTGCTAGAGTGAGAATTTTTTCAAAATCTTTCTCACTACCCTTGGGAGCCAATTCTTGGGAGGACTAGAGCGGTCGGTTTATCCTTGACTCGTTAAAAGTTGATTTCCAAGAGGGCCTTCTCGTACACCAGCCTCTCTGCAATAGCATTTGCAACTTCCAAGGGAATGAGTGTCGAAACCAATCTCATCTTAATGCGTTCTGCCAAATATGCATGAAACCCCTCTACTTATTGCTATAGCAAGCTTTGCTTGGCAATCTCTGTGTTTAAAATGAGGAATAACGAAAAGAGAAGGAGAGCTGCAGCTTGAATAGATTCTCGACTCACTCGATGGGAGTCTTCGTGGCTTCAGCCCCTCACAATCGCAGAAGTGCTGCTATGACTGCTGACGATTAATCCAAGTTTGAGGGTAGGGTGCTGCCACTTATACATCTGCTACGAGTAATAGCTACGACATCATCTACGCTGCCATTGTCGTTGCCACCCATGGATTTGGTAGCCCGACGATCACTTCCACCATTCTTTGACAAAGGTAAGCATCACTACCATCCTTTCCCTCTCCACTTCAATTATTTTCTGGTCAGCAACGACATCTTCCCTTATCTTTGAGAACTATGTCATGGATACATGACAGAATGGGAAGAACTGGTCCAACTCGGTGGAGAGGACAAGAGCAATGATAGCAGCTTCCTAACAGATTCGATCCTCTGGTGGGAACAACCTCCGCATCATAAATGGCTTGTTAATAGAATTCAAAAAATATCTACTCTTTTTTCTGATTAATAAGGAATATACCTGCATACCATTATAATAACATCTTTTAATCGTGGTAATAAGCTTAGTTAACACCGAAAAACGATGTTGCCAAATCCGGCTGTAGCGCCTACGGGAGTGAGGTGAGAGGGGCAAAAACTCAGCATACAAATTGAGTAAATGAGTGGTTGGATGGATAATTTGAAAGGGGATGGATAGATTAGTGCTTTTTACGAACTATTTAAAGGTTTTAACTCCCCACTTGCCTGCATAATCGCCATCTCTGTTAAGGAACCAAGACACCGCTATTGTCTTCAACGACTGGGACTGCCTTAAGATGAATGCACCGATGGTTACCAAAAAAATTTAGAATATTATGCTTGATGATTAATTGCTTGGTGAACTAATAGATGCTCTAAATTAACAAAAATATTAGAATGGCAGCTGCGATTTCTGCCAGGAAAGTTTAGTGCCAGTCCTAAAGTCGACGTAAAGCCTGCAACCGCCTCTTTTATTTCTCTACTAGTTTTCATTAAGACATCACTCTCCCTTTAAAAGCATTTAGACAAATTTTTTGTAGTACGAATTTCCTTTGTAAGTTCGGTTTTGCTGGACGTGTTCTTTAGGACCACGGGGAAATAATCTTCTACTTCAAGGACTCTCAGCTCCTTCAAGGAATTTCTGAAGCATTTACTCAAGTCTTCTTAATAAAAATGAGAAAGTTAGTAGCGAAATTCTTCATGCATAATGCTGTTTGCTGGTTTGTTATCTAACAGTTCGTAAGAAGAGTCTGCAGACGGAGAAGTTCCTTGTCAAAACGCCTTCTAGTATCCTCGATGCTTGATTAATGGTGAGCTTCATTAACTCGTATTCCTGCAATCTTCTAAAAAGAACGGGTAGGTGGTTTTTTTTTGATGTCAGATTTAAAAACTGTGGAAATGTTAGTCATTATAGTACAATAGACCTAAAAATAATTTTATGGTTTGAACCACCCTATAGCTGGGCCTATTCTTCCTCACATGTGCCTCGCCTTCAACAGCTTAAGCACTTACACCTTCCAACAATCGAGGCCAAACAAAGGAACAATTACTTCTACTTCCACGTACCATGCGTTGATTTGGATGCCCTAATTTCTTCTTATTTATATAACTGAATTTGGCTTTTTGCTTGGGGACTCTCACCTTTGTCACACTTTTGTCGAATTCTCTTCAAATAACCTTACTATCCATTTGTTCAAGGGGAGAGGAGGCAGGTAATTCACATTTACAGTGGCACAACTTCTTCCTTCTTGATGCAGTTTACTCCTGAGGTTACAACCATTGCGCCGTTTGGTAATTCAGTAACAGATTACGCTGACACAAAAGTAAATCTCCAAGGTTCAATGACATCTGACGCATGACACACCCGTAAGAGGAGCAGCACTTTGGAAGGCACTAGGATGAAGCACACCACTTTAACTCATTCTCTGTAATCCTGCAATGCATGAATTTCTCCTTTTTTGGCAGTAAGCACACCAAAGAGACACAATAAGAGGCAAGTAGTCTTGAGAGTTGAATTCGCTCTCTTCCATAAAGGAAACGGGCCTACAACTTAAAATACACAGCCATCTGAAGTCCTTCCAAAAAGGTGGTCAGTCATTAAGGTGGGTTTTTTAAAAAGCAAATTGATTTAAGAGCATTTTCTTTAGTCGTTTATCTTTTAGTACTTCGAAACTACATGAAACAATTTGGACGCTTCATACGAAAACTCTCGGGATCAGCACTTTGTAATTTGTATGGCTCACCCTTTGGGGGTTCAACTGGGCTATTTATAACGCATATGAGAATTCATGTTTTTTTTTTCTTATTAAAAAGCGGCAACCAGTACTCATGTGGGCAATTTTGTTGCAAAAGAGATAATTTAACAAGCTCCAAATGAGTACACAGATTAAGTAGGAGAAGGATTTTATAGGTGAATTTGCGAAGGCTGCTCTGTGGAAACATTCAATTTCCTCCAAAAATTAGCCAGTGTTTGGAGTTAGACTATCAACAAAGCTGTGTTGCTTATCGAGGCTCGCATATTCAGAATAGGGAGCCGATTACCTAGTAAGCAGCAAGCCGTGAACATTCAGGTTGCAAACACCATTCTGGGAAATCGGAGCAGAATTAGTGACCCCATTTCTCATCTACATAATTCACAAGGTTCAAAAATTTAGGCATAAATGCAAGTTAGTAAAGCCACCAAACTAGCCTTATTTACATATTTTTGTCTAGAAAAAATTTTAGTGGAAAAAAAAGGCAATAAGAGGTCGGCCGACCCAAAAATACCGCTTGTAAGGGGTCATGAATACATACACCAACAACAGATAACCAAGGCACAGGTGTATAAGAGCTTTTTAAAAGAGTGTGGAATTATCAATCAATCACTTGGTTAAATTGTAATAAGTTCAAAACAACTGAAAAAAATAAGCAATTACGATGATCTGAATTGTTTGTTCAAATTGTTAATTTATATTACAACTTAAGGTATGGAGGTAGGTTGTCACTTTCATGCCTTATTCCACTTTCCTTCCTCAACGTACACTTTACTACTGCGCTGTACCCAAGGACCTCCACCTCTAACACCACCAAAACCATCACCGCCACCACTAGCATCACCAACAAGAAGAACAGCAGAAACAGCAAAGCCCATGCGTTCCGCCATTGACCTCAGATATGTTGTCCTTGACACTCATCAACAGCCATCCACCCGCACAACAAATCATAAACAAACCCACCCACCTACCTGCCCACTTCCTCATTCTCACAACTATTATTGCGGCACCCATCACTCTCTACGTCCGCTACGAATGTCTGTAAGTCAACTCAATGCTCAGCGGATAGACAAAAACGTAAAAACCGAGACTAGAACGCATTGAAAATAGTTTATTAAGGGGTTTTTGGGGAAGAGAGGAGAGGGGGAGGAGAAGAACATCACAGATGGGACACCGGAAGCCAGCCAACGCACATCTCAACAGCACTCTAGCCACACACCAATCCATGCCACCGTTGTGCACAGCCAGGCTCTGGTATGCCGCGTGCCTCCAACTCTGTCTCAACTACCATGCACCGCCACGTCTCTCGCGTCGGTGCAACAGAAAAACGCGAATGCAATCTGCAATTTGGTGTAAAAGTGCCCTTAAACAGAGCCGTTGCAGCGTCCACACAACATCCGACGCAATTTCTCCATCTGTCCGCCCATTGCCACCGAAACCGTAGAGAACACGACCCTGACGTTTGAGGGCATAGACTACGTCCGTGGCAGTGACGGTCTTGCGTCTCGAGTGCGCGGCGCACGTGACGGCATCGCGAATGACGTTCTTCAGGAAGTCAATGATCACACCACGAGTCTCCTCGTACACGACCCCAGAGATGCGTTTCACGCCTCCACAACGTGCCAGACGTCGGATGGCGGAATTTGTGATGCCTTGAATCTGGTCATGCGACACCATCCTGTGACGCTTAACGCCACCGATTCCCAGACCCCTCCCACCCTTACCACGACCAGACATTGTTCGCCTCAATCACGACCACCGCGATTCAACTGCGCTGTATCAACGAAGAGGCTGCGCCAACCGCCTAAGCTATTTGTACCTCCGTGTGTGGGTGCTGCCTTTGCATCACCCAATCAGCACTTCGCTTCAGTCAATTCGAACAGTTCAAGCTTCGTTTTATTTCCATTCATATTACACAAACCATTACTATTTTATTTACTCGTATTGGTAGTGTTTAAATGCATTAAGAGCGGGCACACTCAAACACTGACATATGTAGCTATGATCATCGTGTATGCATGTACATACACAAATACACATCGACAAGTGGCAAAAACAATGTGCACACAATTACCAGAATAAGGTGTGGTGAAGAAACTATAAATAACTGAGCAATTTACAAAATCATATTTTAAGAATAGTAACAGTAACTTTCTAAGGCTGCAAATTTGCATGAGTCCTTTGCAACTCAAGATCGTATTCTGGCAAAAGAATTTGGCCTAAGCTCACTAAGATAGCGTTATCGAGAGAACCGCAGTAGAGGAGAGAATCGGCATAGGTGAGGCAGACAACACTGGCTGTGTGCCCCCTAAAACAGCAAGAAGGGCTGATACGCACACACCGCCAATTTGTTCAAATGAGTAACTCATTCTACTCTGTTTATCACTTTACAGGATTCCAAAATGAAGATACTTGTCTTGTCCCCATGGATCCCTTTGAATTTTGCTTTATTTTTTTGCGAGAATCTGATACAGAAATTGCACCTGGTTGTGCTACTTAATTGTGAAAATAAGTAGGTAGAGTCATAACTATTCTGGAAGGCGTCGAATAAGGAGGCAGGGGGTAACTTCTTAGGTTTTAAACAACACTCTCAAAGTACAATGAACTGTGGACTCTTCAGCCTCCGCAGTGTGTACTTCTACCCCTTCCAAAAGCCTACCAGCCCGTCTGCACCACAATTATAAGCCTTCCATGTCGCTATGTTGCTACATCTACAGAAAAGTGTCGGAAGCTACAGCAGTGTCAAAAATGTAGCCACAGGTATTGGCACAACCAAAATGCTCCTCAATATAGTCTTTTGCAAAGGAGTATCCGTTGTTTTGTGAATAGGAGGAGATTTCTTACTTTCTTCATTAGGCCTTAATAAGTAGCCTTACATAAGTAAAGCGGTAATTACACTATGAAATCAAGGGGCGTTAGCTTAACTAACTAAGATCTTACTAAGATGCAAAGTAGACACCCTTTATTATGATCTCTTCATTGGACAAAAAACGCAGCCTTAAAAACGTTTTTAATCAGGTAGGCGATAGGTCAGCACCTCCTACTATCCAATAGATGTAAGCTACCGAAAATGATACATCTAATCTCATAACACTATGCTATCTTAATGCGATAATAGTGGGTTTAACAGAAATGGAGGTCGTTTGACCGTTGTTTGCAGCCAATTTATTCAATTGAGTTGCGTAATTCACAAGGAATGAGGAAATGACATACTACTGAAACGAATAATCAGTAGTTAGAATAAAGTATGAAGTATCGTTAGAGTTTCCCTCAACTAATCGAAGCGAGAGGGGAGGGTGAGAGAAGAAAACAAAAATTAAAACTAGCTGAAGAAGGCCTAATGTAAAATTTATCTTTTGATTACTGTAAGCTACGAATCATGATCAAATTTTACAGTCGAAGGAGCCACTGCTTTCTGGACTAATAACAAATTAGGAAGCAGGGCCTACAGCAAGTTAGATTGCACATTACACGCATTTACTGCGACAATTAAACATTAGCATAGAGAATTGAGGTGGGAGCATACTTTAAAGCGAGACTCAGCCAGGACCGAAAATAAAATAACGGCACAAATGCAAATAGCACTCATGATTTACCGTTTCGTAGTTATTCGATATTTAAATAAGTGTACTTTGACGCATAATTGACAAGGGCGATTGGTATTTAGCTTCAAATCTTCTTCAAAAATAAACTTTAAATATTCACCCTTGATTTCGCGTGAGAGCCTTAATTAAAGAGCCACTTAATCAACCACTCGGCGATGTTAAGAAGTCAGAGAAAATGTAGGAAAATTAGATGCCACGCATCACCCATCGCTGCCATATCAAAAGCAAATAAAAAATAGCCTTACCTGTAGCTTTTAAATGCAAGAGTTAAATCCAACATGAATGGGGCTATTTGTATGTAAAATTGAAGGTGGATGGGTGGCCCTTAATCGCTAACACTTAACTCATACTTGGTGGTCAATCGGAGTCCGTCTCTAACTTCACCTTAACGCCTTCTATATATTGAAATGATAATGTAAACAGGTAAGTGATGAGACATTTCAGAAAACTTATTTTAGAAACTGCAAAATACAACTGATTGCAGAATCACAATTTACATGCTTTTGGTGACGAAGTGGGGTGCTACTCACTACTCAATTTAAGTAGCATCGCTGTTTCTAGGTGGACAAAGGTTAATACAAATCCCCTTAAGGCATCTTAATGTGCTCCTCACCAACCAAATCGACAATTCGCAATTTACTTTGCATGTTAAGTGAAATGGATAGTTTTTCTCACTGACCAGGAAGCCATCTTCAAGGCCAAGGAAATGATTTATTTGCCCAGGCCGAATAACTTCACAAACCTACAAAATAAATAGGCATTTAAATGTACTGAAATTCCGTTTGAAATCATAAAAAGTCTGTTTCATAAAAGTGCAAATTGGGGTGACGTTGAAGAAATCACACCTGTCAAATTCACGCCATCGTTCTGTGTTGTCACAAGTGCCACCCTAAACAGCTACCCACTCACCCATAGGGTTTGGGCTTCCGGTCTGTAACTCATACAGTTTCACGTGACAAAACTGAGTTTCTGACACCTCTACCTCATTCAAAGACATGGAAAAAAGCATATTGACCCACAAATGGTTGTTTTTGTGTTTTCAGTCAAATGAAGCGTCAAGTATGGAACCATGGTGAGTCAATACTTGTCTAATGTTTACACTCCCAGTTCAACGTGTCACCACCTCAACAATTTCATTTACAGCCTTACAGCCTAACCTTACCTCCATAAAGTGGGTTACTTGCTGGCGCCGGTTTTGTCAGTCATCTGCCTCCACTGGCTTAAACATCCATCCACTGAATTAAGTAAAAAAGATGGAACAAAGACCACTTTGTGATGAGATCCAGACGGAAAGCACATGATATATTCAGGGGAGATTATTTGCCCTCCATTTGGGGTGATTTCGAGGCCCTCAAATGCAGATGCGGCAATTTTCCAAAACATCATGAATTATTAATCGAGCAACGCGAGGCATTTTGGCAAACATCAAGTTGACCGGAAGAAGATAAAGAAAGAAAATCTTGTAGAATACAATCCGACTTCCGTTTAATTCTTAGTTTTACGTGGACTTATCTCACACGGATTTAAACGGAAGTGGGCAAACATCAGAGGACGTTGTAAACAGACGGCTATTGTCTACAAAGTCAGCCACCACCACCGAATGTGTCAGTTTGAATTGTATAGGTCAGACTACTGGGATTCGGTATCCCTTGTTGTGCTTCACACTACCTTTAGTCCATTTCAAGCCTTCGCATCATTAAATGTGCGTAAGATTTGGTGGACGTGATTTGAGATTTTCTGCTGCGCAAACCAGACTTAGCGCAGTTTCGAGGTCGCAGAAGCATCCCCTTCAAATGAGTGCTGCATTGAGAGTTACAACAGCAGAACACACATTCCGCATGCTGATGCATTGCCATGCATTCACAATTTTGGATGACAATGACGAAATGTGCTGCTGCCTGTAGGTTACTCTAATCATTAAAAGTCAAGAAATTGTAATCACTTTTGCCAGGTGTGATGGAGAAACGATTGAAGTACATCTGCATCCATTGCGAATGTCGTAAAAATTACTTCGCACATTGGCGCCAAATGCCCTGCATTAAGAGACGACAGGGAGATTTCAAAGACAACCACTCAATCAATCACTTTTTCATGCACGATGAGAATTACAGCCTTTGAATCGCATCATTATTTGCTCTCAGTTGTTCCACTCACCACTCATGCAACACTTCTAAGGCCACACTGCTTCACCCAAAGGGGGCACCGCTTCATGTGTGTGAATCGGCGACTGCAGACGCAACGGCTCGCTTGGTGTGGAGCAAACAAGTTTTGCACGAATAAATCGGTCAAATGGAAGAAAATCCTAGTCTTAGTGAGAAGACCTCGTCACCGCACCTCAGCCATTGATTGGCACCTTTTCTGGTATTTGACAACCACATGCGGGAAAATAATAGACAGTTGGAAAACGAAAGTCGGGAGAGCAAAACTTGCCCAGGAGACAAAGGGTGTTTCCAAAGACAATAGTTTCCTTGATTATGAAATTGCCAGGCATTTTTCTGGTTGGAGAAGGATCATGCATACTGAAGTATTAAAAGGCGCTCCCAACGACCGTGTTAAATGACCTCAACTTAACCTTGTTTTGTATTTAATGTAATATCACTTGCTTACAAAAACTGTGAATATGGAGGAGGTTTTTTGCATGAAAATTCTTGAACATACCATCAAGGGTAGAAAAGTAGAGCAACAAGTAACAGTTTACCAGCCATGAACTACTGCCTCTTGAAACTCTTTTAGGTCTGAAGAAACACCATTCGACCTCCTCCATGATTACCACCCATCATCGTTGACAGTCGCCCAAATCATGAAGGAACCGCATCCAGGCTTTACCTCCTACCTCATTCACCCATTCGGTTTCAAGTTGGCAAATTCGGAATTTCCAGTTTGTGTTTGTTACTATGCGATAATCAGCATTTCTCGTGTAGCATTCAAAACACTTTTCGGAGAACTATAAATGGATTGAGCACGTCCCACATTTACTGCAAGAGAAAATTGTCTCATGAATTTGATTTGCATTGTATGAGATTCAACGGGACACAGTGTCCGTTTGTTTGGCTGATGAATGTGTTCGCAACGCTGCGATAAATGATTAAAAGGATACATTCTGTTCCACCAGCTCAGCGAATGAGCCAAGAGAGGCAGCCGAGTTGCAAATAAGGTGGTTCAAGTGGACCAACAATGCAACAAAAACCAATCCCAAAAAAGAGGTATTTAAGCAAATTTGGAGATGTGGTTGTAAGTTTCAGCGGAAGTCACGCAGCAAAATTGGGGCAATTCTCTTTCTTACAATCGGAGTGAAGTCCTGATGGCTGTCGTAGACATTCGAATTAATTCAACTGCGAGTATGCCCCAATACCAATCACCATGACTATAATGCCTCGGACGACGTTGCATTCTTTCATAGCCCATCATGCAATCAGAAGTGACCTAAAATGAAAGATGACTGAAGAAATAGTTGACACATAACCGAAAGGTTTGAATAAAGAAATGTCTTTAGTGAACCACTCATAGTCATGTCCTTCCTTGGCAGGCATCCCAACAAAAACAACAATAACAACAGCTGTCC